TATGTTGCGAGTCAGAATTCTACACATGTCGGGGGATTTTCGCTTTTTGAGAGAAATTGACAAACATGTCTGGCGAAAGCTGTGATGCAAAGCCAAGGCTAAAATCTATACACGCCAGGCTGCACAATTCTGCAGATAACGCTGCACAACCGCTGCTTATCTCAGCGAGGATTTATGAGAAAATGCTCTCTGGCTCTATATGTAGATTGGAAAAAAAAAAAAAAAAAAAATCCTTGCATTTTGCCCTAAAGATCACACGGGAGACCTCTGTTACGTGACTGGGATTTTACATGAAATCATATTTTACACATCTGCACTGCTGCCTCGATTCGCCGCCGCGCCGTTAGAGCTCGGATTTACAACCTCAAAGTCCCCCGGAAAACAAATGGATGTTTGGTAGTCAAGAGTTTGATCAGGATTTATGCCTGGCAGCGCTCTGCCCAGGTTGGCTCTCCGTCACTCAGCGCCGCCAAAGGTTTCCAACGTATTTGCAACTTTTATATCCGCGAATCAAAATGTCACACAGGCGTCAAAGTTGAGCTATTTCCATGTTTCTTCTATTCCCAGAGCCCCCGAGAGTCTCATTTTTAGCTCATGACTGCTCATACTTGTTTGCTTGTGCGCGGCTTTCCAGGCCAGCCGAGGGGAGAATGCGAGCGGAGGGAGCCACAGCTGACCGCAGTGACGTAAGCCGCGCTGACCGGCCTGACCGAGGCTGCGAGCGCATATACGCGCCGACACACACACACACACACACACACTCTCGCTCACCTATAACCACATTTCCACGGGGGAATTAGCCATCAATGGCTCCTCAGTGCGAATGTGAGTGTGTGAGAAGCAGGCGAGGCGGAGAGAGTAACCTATGCTCGCCAGTTGCAGCTGCAGCTCCTCGCATTTAAGGGACACACTATCATTTCTAGTCTTTCCTCTCATTTAAAGATAAGTTGCTTCAATGCTTCAATACATTAAATCTTTAAAAAAAAAAATAGGTTGGCATGAAAACTAATTTATTCAATGATCGTATTACAAGTTGTGATGTTTCAGGTTTTGAAACATGCTTCGTGCAGCGTCATCCACCAACAATGTGCTCGCTGACAGATGCCAAATGATTCCGAGTGCTGAAATGAGCAATAAATATGACTTTAAATTGGGATTTTAATCACTGCAATGAAAAAATGTGAACGCCCAGAGGGATACAGGTCCCAGATTGCAGAGAATATTTCATTTCTTTTTTTGGAAGAAGTGTAATTTCAAAGCCGCTCTGCCTATTAAACCTTACACGTCGTTCTGAATCTCTAACTACATAATGACCTGGTTGCTACGCCTCCGTTACGCTGACCTGCTGACAGCTTCAATTAAGCTGGCACTTCTGGCAAAGCCCAGCTCGCCAAAAACCCCCCCGCTTCCTTTCTAGCAGCAATCAAACAACAACTTGGACAACCTGCGCAGGAAAAAGTTGAATAAAAGCATCACGTGATTTTTTTTTACATGAATAGATTTGATTGCGCCGCTCAGCTCTTTAAAAGAAAAGGGAGAAAAAAAAGGAGCAGTCACCTGAGCGCCGACTGATTTGAATCATCAAGGCTGCTCAGACGGAGCTTCCAACAGCGTGAAACCTCGGTGACGTGTCGAAGGGTCGCAGATGATTCCCGCTCGCCGGTACGTGGAAACGCATATCCAGCGTTCACCTCGGCTATAGTGGCACATGTTTAAGTGCTGCAATTCACATGATTCTGTTCAGTTCAGTGGGCTTTCTCACATCGTAGCTTCACTGGATCCTGCTAAGTGGCAGAACAGAAACACACACACACACAAAGACAAAAGCGAGATGTGCGAGCAGCAGATTTTCACCTCAGCTTTCTTTTTTTTTTGTCACTTTATTCCTTTTCTTTTGGCATCCTCTGCTCACTAGCAAGTAGCAACCAGGACATGTTCACAACAGTGTGCAGGAAGGAGGCAAATATATCTATCTGCTCTGTCATGCAGTCACACCGGGTCAGATTATTAAGGTCACATTATGAGCGGGATAAGAATAAAAAGCGAGAGGGAGACGGGGACAGAGAGGGATTTTCTGTCATTTCTTCCAGGGGCTTGTGAACCATATGTTCAGCCCTGGGACACAATAAACAACACGAGGGGCTCAGCGACGCACCGACACATGGAGAGCAGGCTGCAGACTGTGTGCGGGGGTCAGGCATGTGGTGGAGGAGCAGCGTTCCTGACAAACTGTCACAGTCTGGCATTAGGAACAAGGAGCCAAGTGGAGTTTAATTGAGAGCTTCAGTTCAGACATGTACGTGTCCGGATAGATATTCCTCAGCTGCAAGGTTATTGACGATCTGTCCGATGATGTTAGCTTTCTTTATTTTACGGTAAGTAAATGAGATATAAATGACACAGCAAAAATACAGTCCAGCTACGCTTTCCAGAGACTGCCATCGCCGGCGCTTTCCTGGACCCATTAAAGCCCATTAAAAGAGACGTACTGGCACCGTCGACAGGTTAAAGACTGATCCACTGTCACACAACAGCTCAGAGGCATTCTGGAGCTGGCTTCCCCTTTGATTTGATGTTCAATTTTGGGGAAATTATTCCGTTTCTGGCAAACAGCATTGGCTTAGAAGAGTGATAGAACTTGTTTCTGCACACTAGCAGCAGAACAAATACTGAGCAGTGGTGAAGACGGCCAAGAGTTGCTTAAAAACACATGTACAAAGCGCTGCATGGTGGATTTTGTTATCGTGAGACAGCACTAGGCTACCTGTTTCCAGTTCCAGCTGAGCTAAGCCCACCATCTGCTAGCTGCAGCTTCATGCTTAACACTAGGACACGGGAGCGATATCGGTCGTCTCTTCTGACCCTCTGACAGAAGACGTGTTTCCCAGAAACGTCAAACTAATCCTTTAATTGCTCAAAGAAATCGTAAGAATTCAGCTTTGCAGCCATTTCCATTTTTTTTTCTCTTTTTTATAAAGTTTTTTAAATTAAAAATATGCCAAGCACATCCAGAAGATTCTGAGGTAAAGTGAAAAACAGAGAGTGAGCACTGAAGCAAAGGAACAATCCCCTGAGATCTCTGTAAGAAAGAAAGAGGTGGATGATGGAGGAAGCACAGGCAGGAGAGAGGGAGAGAGAGAGTTTGCCTCCAGTCTCGGCACAGAGGAGGATCAAAGGTTTGTGCTCTGCATCTCAATGGACATCCGGTCACCAATACTGATGAGCCCGGGCGTGTGATGCTCCATTCACACGGTTTGTATCTTATGGGTAAACAAGTGGTCATTGCATGCAAAATAAATGAGCATCTTGACTGCACAGTTATGCATCATGGACAGCAACATTCCAGTTTGTAGAAAGGTAAATTCACCCAAAAAAAAAGGCTTTTTCTTTTTACATTTTTATCTATGTTGTCTGACTGACATGACTTTGATCTCTACTCAGGGTATACCTGCATCGTTACTGGATGTACAGTGTGGTTCCCGGAATTAAATATAAAACCTCATGGTCTTAGGGTATGACAGAGGATCTCAAGACCAAGATCTATATAATATTTAGCCTGTAGTCATCTGATAGAGTGCAGTTATTAGTGTTGTTATTCCCTGAAAGTGACATTTTTGCAATAAAGCTGCAGCAATAATTAATTCTGCTCTCACTGTCTCAAACAGCCTGCTTTGTTTTTTTGCCAACTTTTAAATCCAACACGCTCGTCGTATTAAATTCAGCGTGTTTACCGATATCGCCGCCGTGGAAGGTGTCTACTTTGCATTTTGTAGGTGCAGCTGTGTTTCGTGCACACACCCTTGACAGGTTCTGTGCTAGCTGGTCCAAACCGACAGTCGGCTTTTTTAAAGCTGCTACAGTAATAGAAAATGTGAGCATGAAATGATGGCTGTTCTCTCTGCACGCTAGCCGGGAAGCCAAACTAGCCACTGCATAAGCTGCCATACAACTGTGCGAATGTTTACCACGATGCAGCTGTTTGTGCCCATTGGGGGTAAAAATCTGTTTTTATATTTGCAGCAATAAGAGTCCACCAATATCAGAATAACTCATGATATGGTTAATGACACAAACAATAATGGTGTTTGTGCTTGAGTTTAGGAATGCTATATGAGCTAGATTTCAAATAGCTCAGATTGGCAAATGCTTAATGTGTTGAGCAGTATTTTAATTACAGAACTGTAGCGTGTGTCCGACTTGGCCTCAGCATCGCCTGGTTGAAGCTGCACATCAGCTGCTACTCGCTCTCTCTCTATATTTATATATATATATATAAAATCAAGGGTTTTGTCCCAGATTATGCGCAGCCACTGCTGTAATGCTCTTTGTATATGATCTAATGTGGATACGCTTTGTAAACATGGCCGCGCTGTGCCCGCAAATCCTGCAAAAATTGGAATGTGGAGTACAACCTGCTCTACAAAGACATATCTTCCTCAGTTATGAATCTTTCATCTGCCAGATAAACACAGATGCAACATGTTCAGTCCAGGGGTCTGTGCTGTATTGCTTGAGAAGAGTTCTTTCACTCTGAAGTGTTTCTGTTTCCAAGGAAATCCTTTTCTAACTTAACAGTACGAGCGTACAACAGTGTCATAAACATTTTAATTGAAGACACAACAGGCCGTGTAAATTCCACACCGTGAACAGTTGAGAATAGATGGACTCTACAGATTAAAACATAAATAAAGTGATAAATAAAACAGAGGTTCTTCTACTCGCTTGAGAACCTACATCGTGTCTACATCCATTTTTTTTTTTCCCCAAATCATCTTGGAAAACTATAATGAAGATTTCAGCATTACCTCTCATTAGCGCGTGTTTGTCTACCACAGATGGTTGTAAATCCTCTGATGAAACACTCATGACCTCCAATGGGATTCTGTCCCTTTAACTTGAGAGCCTATTAATTGTCTGCAATTATCCTTTGCAAGCGTGGCATCTGTCAGAAGTATCTCCTCTCTCCTCCCCACGTGGATAAAATGCCATAGTGGTAAAGGTTGACTGCGACATTCACTATTTATTGCACAGTAGGGCTTGTACAGTCAAAATTTGCCATCACAGGTCTGAAAAAAAACAAAAAAACAAAACCAAAAAAAACATGTCTGCTTTTCAAAACCCCCTCCCAAAGCTCATATTCCCAGGGCAACATTTCACTTCTGTCTAGACAACATCTTGCATACAGGAGAAATAATGAAGACAGTGCCTTGAATTTGTCCTACTCATGTAAAAAGTAAATAATGAGACATTTGTAAACTAGCTCGTTTGATTACGTTGTGTTGAAAATGTGCTGTTCTGTAACATTTGGGGAATCATCCACAGTTCCCTTGGTGCATTCAAAAATCTTTAGTGCAAATCTCGAGAAAGAAAATGACAGAAAATGAAAAACAAACAAACTAAGGAACTTATAAGGCAACAATTATAAATATATCAAAAATAGTCATTAGAGAACTATCTTTGTTACAAAAACGGTACAAAAGTTTTGTCCTGTACCAGCGAGAGGGACATGTTCTTCAGTTCCTCCACTGATTTCACAGCCTTGTATCCCAGCTGGTGAAGTACTTTCTGACACACAGTCTGTGTGTATTCCACCATGTCATAAGACAGTTTCAAACGCCAGCTCTCTGCGTTAGCTGCCGAGTCCCTCACTGTACCAAACTTGTGTTTGGCTGAAGGCTCATTGCTGCCCCGAGTGTTTGCATGTATCCAGTCTTCCACGTTTTTATCCATAGGCAGCCCCAGATAGTCATAGATCTCCTTTGTCTTAAGAAGCGGATTTCTTGCCAAATCCTCATATCGAACCAACATGTATTTCCCTTTCAGCCAGTAGGGATGGCTGAGGCCAGTAGAAACAGAACTGAGAAAGTCTTCACACACGACTGTGAGCTGACTCAAGTCTAGATTGTAGGGCCTCCTCCCCGTGGCCCTCCAAATGCGCCACAGACGATATGTATCCCTGAACGTCTCGATCCGTGAGGACAGGATGCCACGCGGGTCTCTCACCAGTTGAATCACTTTGATATTCAGCCGCGGGTCTTCGACCAAAGCGCGCAGATCTCCGATCTCCGGCACCCGGACGATTTTGATGGCCACGTGTCGCTTCTCGCGGCACGCCTCCGTCGCCAGCGTCATGTTTAGAGTCGTGCATTTCTTAACGCAGTCGCCTTCCTCCACGTTGACGTCGGCGGGACCGAAGGCGTCGCACACGGGCTGCTGGCACAGCGCTCGGCTGGCGCCACGGCGGAACAGTTTGTCCGTGGTGTGATTCATGGGCGTCGGCTTGATGTAGCTCTCCAGGAAGTAGAGGTCGCAGCCGTAGAGGCTCCGCAGAAGGTCTCGACTGGCGCCCAGCATCACGCGCCGGTCGGCGGCGTTGCGGCTGTGAGACAGGCGAGGAATCAGCGTGGTCTGGACATGGTAGAGGGGCTCGAACAGGTAGAAGACCTCCTGGTGCTGGTTGAGCAGCTGGCCGACGAACGAGGAGCCGCTGCGCGTGGTGGCCAGGACCAGGATGTGGGTTTTCCGCGTGGCGTTGATGGAAAAGTAAGGGTAGTCATCGCAGCCGCCGCTGCCTGCTGTTCCCCGCTCAAACGGAGGCTCCGTCTCCTGGCCACCCAGACCGCAGTTCTGGGGGCTGGGCAGCGGGCACAGCTGGAAAGGCTTGGAGGTGAGTGTCCGGATGGCCGTGTACTGGATGGCAATGGAGGCCAAGGCCAGCAGAATCACTGCCTTCCAGGAACATTGCATGGCTGAACCACTTCATTTAGACACAGCGGTCCATGCCAGGTCCTCCCTGCGAACAAAGAATTGTTTGTCTTTATATTCTGTGGAATGAATTTAGTTATTTACTCACTGGCTAACAGATCTGTGTTTGTACATGTTTGCACCCTAACATACCAGGAACATCATGCACTGCTCTTAAAATGCCAATTGATATCGCTTTGAAATGACACAAAATAAACCAGAGGAACGAGAGCATGACAACAAAATGCAATTTGAACACAGCAATTAACTGCAGAACAACTCGTATTGTGACAGATTTTCATAAAACTGAGGATGAGTCATCAGTGAGTCAAATATAAGCACAATGCAGCCTATATGTGGTTTCTGATTCAAGGACCAAACTATATTTTCATTGATTTTGAGAGGGTTGGAGATTAATTATATGCTAAATAAGCCCAGAACAAGTGCCGGGCTTGATAAATGAACGCTGAAACCAGAATCGTGTGACTTAATCATTCAATCTCCTGCTGCTCATTCCAGCGCTCGAGTCAAATGTATGAAAATTAAAACAGATAAGGAAGTTCTCAGCCTGTATTGTGGCTGCCATCCAATCAGCTGACTGCCACAGCATGCATCTGAGAGCTCAGACCGCGGCGGCGGCGTGCGGACAGCTATTCAAATACGGCACCAAACACAGCTCTGGTTCTGCGTCTTATGTGTCCAGAGAAAAGTTAAAATCAATACGAGGCACACAGAACACTTCACCAAGTACTGCAGCACATCCCCATTCATCCTCCCTGCTCTCCGTCTCTTCCATCATGCCTGCATCTAATTCAAGGACCTTGTTTGGCCTGATTGGAGAGTCTAAGCATTGTGCTGTGTACCACTTGTTCATGAAGGGAAGAGAAGAAGAAAAAAAAAGGCGTCTCAGCCAGCTCAGAGAGGTAAACAATACTTCCGAGCTTCACTGCCAATGTCATGTCAAGGGGAACTGGTGCCTTAAGTGAGGAATATAAAAAAAAAAATCCCACAGAAATGTGACCCAGTAATGATTTTTATTTTTATTTTAAATTCTAGTGTGACGGACTAGGGGGGCCTTGATATGGGCAACTTTGATGGTGTGAGTAAAGAAGCCATGCATGAGATCCAAAAGAGGAATAATACATGAGGCTGTCTGTCTCCAAAGCAGAATGTTAAAGAGAGGCTACTTTAAAATAACACCTCAGATGCAGAATGAAAGCAAATCATGGATTTTTTCTTTTTTGTCTGATGGAGAGACTACAGCTGCTGACAGTGATGATGCTCCAGGATCCTGTGGCAGCAACACACATGTTTATAGAGAGCATCAGTGCATTTCTTCTCAGAGACGTTTTGAATGAAGAAGAAAAAAAAAAAAAAAAGGCCCACTGACTACACTGACTGCAGCGAGATTTTCTGTCCGCGATGCAGACATCCTTCCACCAGCGCTGCTGCGATAAGACAATATAGCACCAAAACGCATCCCACCCAGCCGCAAGTCCTCCCAAACACAACTACGGAGCACGAAAGCGATGCAATCTGATGCAAATACAGAGGAGTGGAAATAAAATAAAAAATCACACTTGTACCTTGTTGGTAGTTGGAGTATCCTCATGGTGATGCGTCCATGAATCGCGGTTTATTTTTTCTCTCCACCGTGCGCTCCTTTTCTCGGTTAGAGGAGAGCAAATGCGCCTGGAATATATTCCATGAAACGGCGGTGCGTTTTAGTTGCTTCAGAGGAGGAGGAGGAAGAGGAGGGAAGGAAAAACAAAACAAAACAAAAAAACCCAAAAGTGTTGGGAGAGCGCAGGAGAGAGGCTGTGTTGTCAGCGAGCAGCCAGGCAGCCAGGCAGCCAGGCGGGGGTGCGACTGTACCGGGGAAAGCGACGGCCGGACTCCCCCCTTAAATGATGCGCAGAGGCTGAGTGTGAGGTACACAAGGAGCGACTGTCTGGACCACCCCAGTCCCCTCCCCCTTTCCACCTGCCTCTCTCTCTCTCTCTCTCTCTCTCTCTCTCTCTCTCTCACACACACACACACACACACACACACACACACTCCTCACCCCTCCACACCCAAAAGCAAATCAGCCCATTCACTGAGCGCCAATGTGGCACCGAGTTCACATCAACCATCATTTCATTTATGCAAACGTTTGATTTTGCGTAAAAATCTTCTATTTCATGACTCTTTTTTTTTTCCCAGTGGATCTGGCTGCAGAGCTTCACGCAGCCGGTTCCTTCAGATCACTGCTCTGATTAAATAAAGCAAAGGCGTGACTGGAAATGGAGAAAAAAATAAATAAAGTTTCTCCTCCTGACTTTGACGTGAACTCGTCAAATCAGCAGCAGCGCCCGAGGCTCTGTGATTCCTGCAAAGCCCTGTCTCCAGGGCATCTGCAAGCCCACTTACTGATACAGCGGGAGTGGGTGGGCCCGTAATGAACATGATATGAGCGGCTGTCTGCAGGAAACAGGCGATCAGAGGAGGATGATGCACAAACAGGTAGAGTCACGTGTTGGTAATGGGACACGCCCCCAGCACGCAGGTCTGCAGGTGTTTCAGGTAAAATAGCACCTGTGTGTAACCAGCCCTTAGTGTCATTTCTCAAACCCTTTTGTGAGATGCAACATGTTTTTATTCAGATTTTATACCTGTATACGCCACGGATCACTACATATCCCTGCCTGCTGATCCTTTGTTTAGTTGATCAGTCTGGTCCTGATTGAACCTTTTAAACGAACCCATTTTTCTAGGCTTGCTTTTAAAGATACCACCTATTTTTATTCATTTATTTATTCTTTAATTTGCTCTTTGTATTCTCCTTTTTCTCTTTATTTATTCACCACTGGTATTATTACTTCTAGCCATGGCTTCACGGCTCTATTTTCTTTTATTCCGTTTGTTTGTTTTTTTTATCCAGACTTGGATACGGCATTTTTTGGCGGTTTTAATATTTCAGCTGGTGTTCTTGTATTGATTCGTTTTGAAAATCTTTCGCCATGTTTCGCTCTATTTCTCCACTTCTGTTTGGAGCCTTCCTGAGTGTCCTTCTTTACTCTTTTACCTCGTCAAGCACTTTGTAAACTCTGGTTTTCAAAGGCGCTATAGAAATAAAGTTATCATTGTTATACGTGCGAACAGGGGATGCATGATAGTTTGTTTTTGCCAATATTTGATGCTACTGCTGGTATGTGCACGTGTATTTTCCAGCAGAGAACATTAAAGCTCTCCTGCAGTGGATTTAACACATTATTATGTCTCCTCTTATTGTGAAGGTCCACTGGAAAACATGCAATGCAGAATATGGAAACTACTCCAACGCACATCTATTTTTATGCAACATTTTCAAACTGCACTCATCGCTGAGCGTTAGCCAGCATCAGCTTATCGGCCTGTCAGTGTCCGTTTTGGGCTGATGCCAGCGTTTCATTTTAAAGGCTTTATCAGCTGCGACCGATGACATGCTGTTATCATCGTGCGTCCCTGCTGCAGACCACGGATTTAAATCCATTTAGTGAAAACATTTACAACTAAAGACATGAAGGATTGCTGCAAAACGCTGATTATTGATATTTATAAGTGCAGATGGCTTAATAACCGTCTCTGTTGGCCTAATAGAAAAGTTATTGGATTTATTATTCCACTGAACCCCGAGCAGTGTTTGCTCCTGTGGTGTTTTTTACTCATGGTTGCTCAGCTCTCACTGCAATATGAAGTCTTGCACCTGTATGGAAACAGCACAACTATGAGAACTCCTAGTACACAGTTCTAATGCCACAAAAAAATCATAGTAATAAAAAAAAAAAGGTACATGTTGATTCCATTTTTTTAAAAGAAAATAAATAAATACTCCAAGTGCCCACAAGTGTTACCAAATACTGGAAAAGTCTGGTGACTGTACTTTGAATATTTCACCACCCGTATTTTTAGTTTGTCTCGTACACAGCCTGCAGTTCAGCCCAGTTCAGCTGAACAGTACCTGCATTTTTAACATGTGACTCTTGGTTGGGGCTGCAAGGTGACGTGGTGTTCAGCACCATCGCCTCAAAACTAGAAGGTTGTCAGTTTGCGTCCCGGTGAGGACACCCAGGATCTTTCTGCGTGGAGTCTCCACATTCTCCCCGTGCAGCGTGGGTTCTCTCCGGGTTCTCCGGCTTCCTCCCACAAGTCCAGAAACATGCTGAGGTTAATTGGTGATTCTTCAGTTTCATTTAGCAGATTGGGGACCTGTCCAGGTGAACCTGTCTTCACCCTGAGTCAGCTGGGATAGACTCCAGCCCCCTGCGACCCTAGTGAGGATTACTGTGTATAGATAATGGACTCTGGGTTGTATCTGAGCTGCTAATGGATTCACTGCTGCAGCGAGGAACATGTTATTTTGTTTTTTCACAGAATCTGCTTTGTGCAAATGCTTTACTTTTGGAGATTTTTTTATATAAGGTGTGTAGAAAAAAGTGATTTTGATGAAATGATTTGGTTAATTGTCCAATGAAGCTGCACATCACACATATTTAGCTGTTTGGAAACCATTAGAAAGTTTAAAAAAAACCCTGATAATTCCTTCGTTTTTTTATAGTTTCTGTCTGGGATAACTTTAAAGATGATCCTGGTGAAATATGTGGTTCAAAGGTTTATTCAACTGCAGACTTGGTGGTTTATAAGAAAAGTGAGACTCTGGTTCCTAATTATGAAGCACTTTCCTAATGAGTTCATGAACAATGAATCAACAGTAATTTTTCCCAACATGGCAACCCAGAAGCTGTTCATATTATTCGCTTTAAACATGAAGAATCAGTAAAAGATTAATAATGTGATGGCTTACTTTATAAATGGTTCCATAAGGTGGATTTTCTCTTGTATTTTTGGTCCCTTTCTCAGTTTCTGTCTCTCATGTATGCACGTTAAAAAGAATCGTCGTCACAGTCGGACGACAAGAATCCATCAAATGTCAACATCCCTACAAAAGCCATCGTATTGTTTGGATTGACCACTTAGCATTTTGGAGTTTTGCGTGGGCTTCATTCACCAGAATGGACTGCAGAATGTTAAACCGAGCGTGAAATGAAAAGACCATCATAGTCTGGAGCTACGTTACGTTTTTACACGACCAGCTGGATGACTCGAAACATTTCCTTTCCGCATGTCGGCTCGATCTCAGGTGGAAGCTTTATGGGGTGAAATCTTCCACTAAAAATGTCGTCCAGCTTTGGAACTGATTTGCAAAAGCTGGACGACAAAAATAGGGAACTGTTTTTGAAAAATATCCAGCAGACAGATAACGGAGCATCAAGAAGAAGTGGATCTCCATGTTGCTTGCAGAGGTCACTGAAGTCGTGAAAGTGTCTGAGGTTGCATTGCGTTAAATACTTAACCCTGAGGTGTTGCAGACTCTGGATGTCAAATAAATATGCAAAACCAACACGTTTGGCACATTTCATTGAGTCTAACCACTGCAAGATGCTAATAAACTATAGTGAGAGATGCACAAATTAAGACTTGACTCACCAACTGTTAAGCTTTCTGCTACTTTAAGTTGCTGCTTTTGAAGTTTTATAAGATATATTGTTCCTGGAGCAGCAGCAGCTGACAGTAGAATTAAAAGATTCACAAAACTAAAGAGTAATATTTGAAAAAAGAGCTTAAGTTATTTGTTTCATGCAGCTTCTTCAGGTGTATTTACAATTAGTTGATCATTTAAATCATTTACTGTCATAAAAAAGCAACGCAATAATAAAAATTGTAGGTAAACAGTTTCCAAATCCAACAAATCACTTAATCGCTGATGGGGAATTGCTCCTTTCAGAGTGTTAACTTCATTATATTGACTACCGTTACAGATTCATTAACTCCTAACCAACACTGTCATGTTCCAGCGCTACACATGTTTACCTGCATTTTAAGGGTTAAATGTGAGATATTTCACTCAGAAATGCTCCAAAGTAAAAGTACGCTGTAGCACAAATTGGAACAACACAACAAGAAAGCCACAACATGTGAACGCGTGGCTTTAATTACTTCAGCAGCGACCACCTCCCCTCCGCTGGACAACATACATCCTGTTCACTTGTACAGATCACATGCGCTATCAAAGGCAATCATCTGCTCCAGCAGCTCTTTGATTGCGCCTCTCTTTGTGAATGTTTACGGTCACGTTTGTTTGCCCCGCTCCTGAATGCCCCGTAAAGCGTCTCTGGTTGTCGCCCCAACCTCGCACATTAAAAAGAGGCCCCTGGATGTGCTCACGGCGGTGCCACGGCGGAGGCCCGGCGGAGCTGCAGCATCCATACAGCTCCGATTCCACGGCTTGTCCCCCGAGTGATCATGTCAATGAACCCAGCTTGTGGAAGCCTCATCCAGGGACGCTCTCCCACGCCGGCGCTGGGCATCTGCTGCAGCGCGATAGCCTTTCAGCACATTATCACGTAAGGCTATTCTTCTTGAGCATGCTATAAAAGGATTTGTAATAGATTCATAACACGCCAGGCTAAATAATGTGTGTGGTGGTGGTGGTGGTGTTGGGGGTTCTGGCTGGCTTTGTTCTCCCCTCCGTCATCTTTATGCCAGTGTGCACATGGCGACAGAAGCTGGGTTTTTGTGTCTGCCGGTTTTTTCATTCACAACTTGGAACTGTGTGCTCACAAGGATTTCAGGGGATTGTCTTGTTCTTATTTACAAAATAGGGGGAGGCAGATCACAGAGCATCTCGAGGTATTAACAAACCTG